GAAAGCTGGGATTAGAAGTCCCATTTGTTCCAGCTATTCCACTACTAGGCATATTCCCAGAAGAACTGAAAACATCATATCACAGTGATATATCTGCACCCAGGTTTATAGCAGCACAATTTGCAATAGCCATATCTTGGAAACAATCTAAGTGTCCGTCAACTGAGGAATGGATTTAAAAAGCTGTGGAATTTTTGTATAATGGAGCACTACTTAGCTATAAGGAATGATCACATTGAGATATTTATAAATAAATGGGTGCAGCTTGAGACCATACTTATAAGTGAAATAAATCAAACTCACATGTGTAATTACCAAATAGTTCACCTAGTGTAAGGAATGGTAAGAATACATAAAACTATGTGATAATCATGATTCCCCATTATATTCCTTTGAAGCTTTATAATGTTTTCATTCATTAATTGGAATGGTTTTATTCTGGGTTGTTTGTTTTTATTGTCTGTGATGGTATGAACAGCTATTTTGAAAAAAAAACAAGACATTATAATAGCTAGTGATGATTTAATATCATCTTGTTTTGAAGTCCCACCAAGTTTTTATTATCCTGTCTCCATCGGTTTTATCATGTTATATCTTATTGGATTTTATTTTATGTGATGGTATAAACAAAGTTTTTTATAGACAAGAGAGAAACCATTGTTCATTTTCTGTTAATTGGTTCTGAATACCTTCTAATACTTTCATTCTCTTGAATAGTTTTACACCATCTTTTTATGTTTGATACTATAGTATATGAAGGTATAATCAAATATTTTAAGGAAAGAGACACTATGGTAGCTATTGTTATGTGAGGATGTCTTGCGGTGAAATGCTATGTTGCTTAAATTGTTCTGTTCTGACTTGTGTTGTTATGTCCTCTTTTATCTTAATCTTTTTTAAAATAAAAAAGTTGATTTAGTTCTTATATCTTATGATTGTTTTGTCTATTTGTTCTCTTCCTTTTTGACAGTGGCATATTCAGATCTTCCAATACAATTGTATTGAGACTTCTTTCATTTTCCATATCTGTTAGTAATTGTTTAATATAGTTGGATGCACTGGTGTTTATTGCTTATATATTTATAATTGTTATCTCTACCTCTTTGATTGTTTTCTTCATTAGCCTGTAGTGACATTCTTTAGCTCTCTTAATGAGTCCTGGCTTGAAATTCATTTTGCAAATAGAACAGCTACCTCTGCATTTTTTCTGGTTTCTGGTCATATACAGTTATGTTTTCCATCCCTGAACATTCAGTGTATGAATTTATTTTTGAATTAAATGTGCTTTTTGTATGTAGAATATGGTTGGATCTTGCTTCTTGATCTACTTTGCCAGTCTGTATCATTTGACTGGTGAATTCAGACCACTAACACTGATATTTATAACTGACATATATTGACTTATAATACCTTGTCAGGTTATTTTTCTGTGGTTCCCCTGTGGTTATTTTCCAGTGGCTTTCCTTGATTTTCCTCTCTCTTTCTAATTGTTTGTCTTTCTTTTTTTAATTTTTTTTATTTAAGGAGAAAAAGGAAAAAATGGAAAAAGAGTTCAAGTAATACAAAATTTAAAAAATAGGCAGTAAAAAATCACTAGTTAATAGATTACATATTCTCATCTTAGAAATAGTTGTTCAAGTTACAAAATTGAAGCACATAAAGTGGACTTTCAAACAGTGAGAGTGCAAACAGTTTTGTTCAATGATCCAAAAAACACTCAGTAATATGGTTATCTATCTTATACACTTAAACATATATGCAGTTATAACCTTTAGAGCACTTTCCTTTGTTTTCTTTTGTACAATGACAATTACACATTTTGGGTTTTATTACTCCCACAGTTCTTATTACTTTTTTTGAAGAGAGTAAAACCAAATGTGACATATCAGAAGAGAGTCAGTCAAATCCAAAGGCTGGACATAATAGATAATGTAAAAACAAAATATAAGGTGATCAACAATGGTTACCATACTGCCTTTTGCTATTTTAAGAAGAATTGGCAGTTATAATAAAGTTGAACTAAACAGAAAAGAATAAAACCAAAGTATTGGAGACATTACAGGATTTTAAAAGAAAATAATAGTCAACCGGAATGGGCATCATAATGATTCTTATTGTCTTCACAGTTATGCCTATACTTTCAAACTTGGTACTATCAAGCAAAGCAGAATAGAAGAAAATCAGTCAAAACAAGATGGTGAGGGCAATACAGGATTTCAAATCAAGTTAATAGGAAATCAAAGTAGGTTACTATAATGTATCCTGCTATTTTTTATTTATTTTTCCCTTAATTAAAAAAATAGAAAAAAGTAAATAAAAAGGGGGGATTGATATAAAAGAGGGCATAAGAACAGAACAGCGCAGGTCAAATCATAACCATTTAAGCAAAATAGTGTTTCACCAAAAGATATCTTGACATAAAAATAGTTACCATAGTGTCTCTTTCTTTGAAATCTTTGAGTATAATTTCTTATACTGTAGCAACAAAAATATCATAACACTATAAAACCATTCAAGATAATGGCATTATTACAGGGTATTTAGAACCAATTGACAGAAAATGAACAATGGTTTCTATATAAACTCCTTGTCTTTAAAAGTTTTTGCTTATATTATCATATATAATAAAATCCAATAAGATACAACCTTTTAAGACCAATGGAGACAGAAGAATACACGTTTGATGGGACTTCAAAACAAGATGATACTAAATCAGCACTAGCTATTATGACGTCTTGTTTTCTCCAAAATTGCTGTTCCTACCTTCTGATCTTCTCTGCCTCATTTCTGTTGAGCTCTTTTTCTGTCGTTTGTTATCAGTTTGTCTGCTTCATTTCGTTTTTTGCTCCATTCATTGTGGTCTCTCTGCCACTATTTCTGGAATCTTGGTATTTTCCTTTTTTAGACTATCCTGCAGTATTCTCTGTAGAGTTGAATTAGTGGTTGCAAATTCCCATAGTTCCTCTTTATCCTAGAAGCACCTTTTTTTCCATCAATTTCTAGGGAATATTAAAAGCCATCAGAGATAAGAAACAGATCACTTACAAGGGAACACCCATCAGAATTACAGCAGACTTCTCGGCACAAACCATCAAATCACGAAGAGCGTGGGGGGAAATAATTCAAGCTTTGAAAGATAATAACCTCAGGCCAAGATTGATATATCCTGCACAACTATCCCTGGAAATCGATGGAAAAACAAGGTGCTTCCAGGATAAAGAGGAGCTAGGGAATATGCAACCACCAATTCGACTCTACAGAGAATACTGAAGGATAGTCTAAAAAAGTAAAATACGAAGAATCCAGAAATAGTGGCAGAGAGGCCACAATGAATGGAGCAGAAAACAAAATGAAGCAGACAAACTGACAACTAATGACAGAAAAAGAGCTCAACAGAAATGAGGCAGAGAATATTACATGATAGGAACAGCTATTTTGGAGAAAACAATGTCATAATTGGTAATGCTGATTAAGTATCATCTTGTTTTGAAGTCTCATCAAGCTTTTGCTCTTCTGTCTCCATTGGTCTTAGCATGTTGTATCTTATTGGATTTTATTATATGTGAAAGTATAAACAAAAACTTTTATAGACAAGGAGATTATACAAAACCATTGTTCATTTTCTGTTAGTTGATTCTAAATACCCTGTAATGCTGTCATTCTCTTGAATGGTTTTACATTGTTTTGATATATTTGATGCTACAGTATACGAAGTTATACTCAAAGATTTCAAGGAAAGAGACAATATGGTAACTACTTTTATGTGGGGATTGTCTTGTGGTAAAACATTATTTTGCTTAAATGGTTGTGTTTTTTTCTGTGCTGTTTTGTTGTTATGCCCTTTTTTATCTCAATCTCCATTTTATTATTTACTTTTTTATTTTTATCCTTTAAATTAAGGGAAAAATAAATTTAAAAATAGCAGGATATACTATAGTAACCCACTTTGATTTACTATTAATTTGATTTGAAGCCCTGTATTGCTCTCACCATCTTGTTTTGACTGATGTTCCTCTATTCTGTTTTGCTTGATAGTACCAGGTTCGAAAGTATAGGCAACAGCTGTGAAGATAGTGGGATTCATTATGACCCTATTCTGGTTGACTATTATCTACTTTTGAAGACCTGTAATGTCTCCAATGTTTTGGTTTTGTTGGTTTCTTTCTTTACTGTTTTGTTCAATTTTATTATAACTGATGATATAGGCAATTCTATTAGAGATAGCGGGAGGCATTATGGTAACCATTGTTGATCACCTTGTATCATTGTTTTTACATTATCTATTATGTCCACCCTTTTGATTTCTCGACTCTGTTCTGTTATGTCACATTTGGTTTTACTCTCTTCCAAAAAAAGTAATAAGAACTGTGGGAGCAATAAAACCCAAAATGTGTAATAGTCATTGTACAAAAGAGAGGAAAAGAAAGTGCTCTAAATGATATAACTGCATGTATATTTAAGTGTTTAAGATAGACAATGATATATCCGTTAGAAGGATGTTAAATAGCTGACTATATTAATGTTTTTGGATCATTGAACACAGCTGTTTGCAGTCTCTCCGTTTGAATGTCTACTTTGTATTCTTTGATACTGTGATTTGAGCAACTATTTCCAAGATGATATTATGTAATCTATTAACAGGTGATTTCTTACTGTTATGTTTTTTTTTTGTAGTTATGTATTATGTGTAACCTTACACTGCTTTGTTCTGTTTTGTGTTTTTCTCTTTTTCCTCTTAAATAAAAAAAAAAAATAGAAAAAAAAAAAAGATAGACAATGATATTATTGAGTTTTGTTGGATCATTGAACAGAACTGTTTGGTCTCACTGTTTGAATGTACACTATATAAGCTTTAATTTTGTAACTTGAACAAATATTTCTAAGATGACAATATGTAATCCATTAACTAGTGATTTCCTACTGTTTATTTTTTTTTCTGAAATTCTGTATAACTTGTACCCTTTCTTTGCTTTTTTTCTTTTTCTCCTTAAACAAAATTTTAAAAAAAATAAAATAAAATAATAGCACCAAATACAGCCTAGAAAATGACAAATCGTTTTAGTCATTGATTTGCCACTTTTAACCATATGAACTAGATTTGTGGTTGTATAAAAAATCTAAAAGAAATGAGAAAATTATATGCAGTGTAAAAATCCTTAATATGTCAATTTTGTGCTCAAGGGTTAAAATTTAAAATGGGTTAAGGAAAATAGGGAAATGGAAGAACAGAAAGACATTAGAATTAAGTGTGTAAGACAACTGAGGGTCAGACTATCTTTGGGAAACCAGTGCAGAAGACTGGTGGAGTAGAGAGATGGAGGAGATAAAAAGAACAGAAGAGAACTGAAAACACCGAGTCCAGAGACTGTGCTCACACTCATATAAAAACAAAATCAAACAATGAAGAAGAAAAACAGTGAAAAAAGCAAAAACCAAAAACAACCCCACCAGCACAGCAACAGAAAAATAAGACGGGGGGGGGGGATTGTCTTCCATTGTTGTTTCTGGTTTCACTGGTAAACAAATGTGGAGACAGAATCCCAATCTCCACTGATCTATTAAGCAAGCCAGAGTATCTTTTTGACATGGAGTGGAAAATCTCAGCAATCCTGCACTTTCTGAGTGAGACTAGGCTAACCTGGCTCACTGTCGTTCAAGCAACCTCTGCTCTTTTGAGCCCAGCTGGTAGGCACTAGATGGAGCCAGCAGAAGTTTTGAGTTCTGATCTCTGTCAGCCAGGCTCATTTGCAGATTTAATGGGAGGAACAAAAATCCACATGAAAATTAAAATTGAAATATGATTGATTTTAATGTTCATGAATATGACTTAGAAAAAGAAGTGAGAGTCAGTTGTTCATTGAAATAAATTCCACACTGCAGTCTAATAACAGACATTCAAAACTGTGAAGCATTCCCTCAGATCTTCCATGTATTTTAAGCAAAACAAGATCTTACATAAGAGGATTCTTTCTTACTGTATGTGTTTGCTTTCTGATTGTACATAGATAATTCCTATCTGGTCTTAACAAAATAATGTAGCATTTAGGGGCAAAGATGCAGCTTAGTAACCCTACACTGGAGGCCAAGATGGAAAAGACCTCCATGGCCACCATGACCTTCCCCTTGGTGCTGTGGTACACAGGGAGGAAGGTGACCCAGACACTGCAGAACACCAGCATGCTGAATGTCAAGAACTTGGCTTCATTGAAGGTGTCAGGCAGGTTCCTAGCCAAGAAAGCCACAGAGAAGCTCACTAGGGCCAAGGAGCCCAAGTATCCCAGGACATAGTAGAAGGCAGTGATTGAGCCCTTGTTGCAAATGATGATGATGTGTCCCTGTTCAGAGTGTGTGTCTGTGTCAATAAAGGGTGGATTTGTCCCCACCCAGATTCCACAGAGTGTGAGCTGGATGAAGGAACAGATAAGGATGATGTAATTTGGTGCCCCTGATATCCACAGCTGCCTCATCCCTTTTCCTGGAGCAGTGACTTTAAAGGCCAAAACCACGGTAATAGTTTTGGCCAGGACAGTGGAAACAGCCACTGTAAACACAATTCCAAACGTGGTCTGCTGGAGGATGCAGGTGGCTGTGTTGGGACGGCCAATGAAGAGCAAGGAGCAGAGGAAGCAGAAGGTGAGGGAGATGAGCAGAATGTAACTGAGAGTGCGGTTGTTGGCTTTGACAATGGGAGTGTTTCGGTACTTCACAAAGAGCCCAAGGACAAAAGCTGTGAGAATAGCAAGACTCAGGGCTGTGCAAGTCAGAGCTTTCCCCAAGGAATCTTCATAGGCCAGAAAAGTGACAGATTTTTGGAGACAGTGGTTTCTCTGAGTGTTGGCATACTGATGATCTGGACACTTCATGCATTGTTCCAAATCTAGTTAAAAAGTAGAATTGTCACTTCTTTAATTTCATTATTTCTTTCATAGTCACAGACCCAATCCCAGAATCTGAGTTTATTGAAACAGATTGTTGATCTCTCTGACTCTCACCCTCTGGCTTCTCTCTCTCTCTCTCTCTCTCTCTCTCTCTCTCTCTCTCTCTCTCTCTGCTCTGTCTCCATTTCTGTCTCTCTCTGTCTTTTCTTTTCCAACACTGGGAAGTCAACTCATGGACTTTCACTGAGATATAACCTAAAGTTCTATAAATTCTGTAATTAAGGCAGGGTTTCCTTAATACACTATATTGCTCATGCTGGACTCTGACTTAAAATCCTCCTGCTTCAGCTTTCAGAATGCAGAATTGCAATCATGTATTATCACACATGAATTTTCCTTTTATTCTAGACACACAGAACAATGTACTATGTAAAACGTAACTTTTTATCAACACTGCTTATTTCTTATGATGTAGTGAACACTATAAATTTTTTATTGTTGTTGTCACTCTTGTATATTTATGACAGCATTTTTATGTTTTCACAAAACAATAAAAGACCTACCTACCCAAATAAAACCTGTATAAAGCAGGCTCTGAGTACTCACTCAGTAAACAATCAGGTATTGAGAAACAAACATAACTTTTTAAGCTCTGCGAGAAAATTTATGAAGCATTTAATTCAAGTTAGATTAACTGCCTCCACCTATAAAATATTGTAGTTTTCCTCACAAAATATAGTGAAATATGTATTACAATTGAAGTCTGTTAGTAGTTCAAATTGCAAAATACTAACCTTTCCATTATTGATACTTTCTATCTATTATTGGGCCTTATGGAATCATTTATTTAAAGTTTACTTTCCAAAATATTTTTCATAATTAGTTTAATACCATTTTCAAGATTTTCACTACATATTTAACATATTGAGCTTCTGAAAATGCGAATTTTCAAAATTTTATCTACTACAGTTTTATGACTGATTTGCAGAGTTGGTTTTTATAGCAGATTTGTATTTTGTTGCTCCTATGTAAATCCATTTATTAGGTCATTGTTGCTTTCAAAATTAAACCAAAATTGTAAAGAGTGCTATAAGATACTGTAAATGCTATTTTTGGCATGTAGACACATTTCTTGTCTATCAATTTTGTTAAAATGTTATTTTAAAGAGGGTAAAATTGAACATAACAAAACAATAAAATAGATCATAAGAAAACAGTGTAAGAGACACAAATTTCAAAGCAAGGTAGCCAGAGATCTTCACTACCTATCATTTTGTCTCTTGTTTTCTTCCAAATAGTTGTCCATGTCTTCAAATACAGTGAATTCATACAAAAAAAATAGTACAAAACTGATCAGAACAGCGTGATGAAGGTATTTTAGGTCTTCAAGACCAGACAATAAGGAAGTCAAAATGGCTGCTATAGTGTCTCTCATTCTCTTCAAAATAGCTGTCCATACATTCATGTATATTTAAATTAAACAAAACAAAATGGACTAAAATCACTCTAAATAAAGACTAATAGTATTGTTGAATTTCATTTCCTGATGCTACGGAATCAGCACTGGTTACCTTAGTGTCTCTTTTTCTTCAAAGTAGTTGTTCACTTCATTGTGCATTATATAATCAGTTCTCATACACTGTTTAGAAGTTCTATGATGCATAAGTGTGTACATGTATACCTATTCTTTCTGTATTAGAGGGGAAAAAACAAAACAAACCACGACAAAACAAAACAAATTCCTAGAAAAACATGAAATGAAAAAGACATACAAAACTATAATACCAGATGATCTACAATAGTCAATAATCTCTTGTTATCATCAATAGAATTATCTACATCATCAGACATAGTATAATTGAACATAGCAGTACATAACACTATTAATAAAAACAAAACATTAGAGACATTATAAGACTTCAAAAGCAGGTAATATCAAACCAGAATGGGTATCCTAGTGAATCTTGTCATCTTCAGAGTATTTGCATATACTCACAACTTGATACTATCAAACATAACAGATTAGAATAAAATCAATCAGGACAAAACAGTGATCTAACAAGCCAGATTCAAAAAAGATCAGTCATAATAAGACAATGTAAGTTATATAGGGTTTCAGATTCAGTTAATAGGAAATTAAAGATGATTACCATAGTATATCCTGCTATTTTTGGAATAGCTGTCTGTGCCCTCACATCTAGTATGAGTAGACAGACTAGAACAGAACATAATCAAACTAAACAGAGTGATGAGAATAATGTGGATTTAAAATTCTGGTACACTATTAACAATGTCCTCTGCCTTCCTTTTTAGGACAGTTCCTCCCCTTTCACATTCACAGGTTGCATTGTACATTTTGGGCCCAACTAACTCCTTTACTTTTTATATTAGGAGGGCAACCTGCAATTTATGTATATGGTTCGGAACCTTTTTACCCCTGAGCTTGATCTTAAGTTGTATTCCTTTACATACAAAAGCCTCAAGGTTTTCTTTCCTTAAAGCTGAGTAGCTGTCCACTACAAAAAGTGTCATATTTTTACAACCTATCTACAGATGCTGTTTGAGCAGCCCCTTTGTTTCTCTGGTTCCCTGGCACATATAGCATTATTTTGACATTTTGACTTTCAGTCCATAAGCCTCTTTTAGGTTGATTATATTTCCTATACAGAGCATCTCAATGGACCCTATTTCTTGATGTACTATGCCTGTGTTTCTTTTTGTTAGTGTAAGAAGGCCATCTATGTTACAGATTACAGCCAACCTTCTCTGCTTCATCTCTGCTGTGCTAATTTTCTGCCATGGTTGTCTACTTTTCTCCTTCACTCTACTGTCCACCCTATTCAGTGAGCCCTTGTGCTCCTGTTCCTGAAGCCCTGGTGTTTATTTTTGTGTCTCTTTAGAATGTCCTTCAATATTTTTTGTTGGGTTGAATTGGTGGTCCCAAACTCCTCCATTTCCTCTTTGTCATGGAAGCATCCTGTTTCTCCATTAATTTTGAGACACATTTTTGCAGGATACATCATCTGGGTTGGAGGTTATTTTCTTTCAGGTCTTGGAATACTTTGGTCCAAGCTCTTCTTGATTTGATGTTTTGTATCAAGAAGTCTGTCATGATTTTGATAGGTTTTCCTTTTAGGTGATCCATTTCTTTTCTCTGACTGCTTTGTATATTCTGTTCTTCTGATGAAGTTCTGGAATCTTGATTATTATGTTTTGTGTCTATCTGTTTTGTTTGTAGCTGGCTGTGATTCTGTATGACTCATTAATCTGAATACCATTTCCTTTTCCTATGCTTGGAATATTTTCCTTAATTATTTTTATGAATAGAATTTATATGTCATTTGTATTTAGCCCTGCTTCTTTACACATTTTTTTATTCTTTATTTATAAATCCTTTTGTCATCTTGAAGCCTTTGTACTGTTACTGCATGTTTACTTGTTTTTAAGAGATCTTTCCTTTCACAATCAGGCATTGCAAATCTAATTTCAAGTTTTGATAATCTATTGTTAGTTTCTTTCTAGCAATTTTGCCAGCTTTCAGTGGAGTTTTAAAATTCTTGGTAATCTCTTTGAATCTGTTTCATGTATTCTAGGATTTTTATATATTATTCATTAAAGATTTCTCTCCTTTTTCTTTGTTCCTCCACTCTTCTGTCTGTGTGTTGAGAAGTGCTTAGGATTTCTTTTATTTATCTTCTTATGTATTGCTTTACTTTTATTAGTATTTCAGTTTTGAGTTCTATAATGTCATGAAGATGTTTCTTTAGGTCACCTAATGCTGTCTCTGATATTGCATGTTTGTTGGCCAAGATCTCTTCTGTATTTACCTCTCCTGGTCCCATATTCCCTGGGTTGCTGGCTGGAGGTATTTTCTTATGTTTTTGCCTTGTCATGTTTCAGGTTCTTTCCATATATGTGAATGGTGTATGTCCCAGCCCCATTCTGTATTGGTTATGGTCCTTCTGAAGAATGCTGGCTAGAAATTGCTGCCCTCTATGTTTGCTATTGATCATTTAGGTGTAAGCAAGGGTATTGTATGTTGGACCCTCTCCTCCAAGCTAGTGAACCAGCAGGGGCCTTTACCACATGAGTGTGTGATGCATGGATAGTCTGTGACAGCTTTGGGGGCCATTTCATCCCTGGCTATTGTGTCCCAAACAGCGTGTAACCCAGCCAAAGCAGATCCCAGTAATATGATCTGGGGAGGTAGTTGACAACTGAAGCCACTGCAGTTCCTGCTCAAGCCCATCCTGCCCAATTTCAATATGTCATCTATCCAGTCACCCCCCCCCCGCTCCCATGAGAAGACCAAACACCAAGCACTCATTGTGTGTTAGTGCAGCTCTTCATGTCGGCTCTGTTCTCCATTGTGATGCATCCTCCTGCCAAGGGCTTCATGCTTGCCAATCCCCAACTTCAGAGTGACTGAGAGTGGGATTGGTGTGGTGAAAGCACCATAACTTTGAGTTGGACTGGCTCCAGCGAGAGCTGCTACTTGACTGCAAGCTGGATCAACTTCATTGAGATCGTGTGTGGCTCCAGCCTTCTGTCCATGTTTTTCTTTCCTTTTCTTTCTTTTTTTCCCCACTTAGTTTCCTCCTAGGTCAGTAGAACCCCCTCTCTTTTCTTCTAGTCTTTTCCATGATGGTAAATTCTAGCATCTGAGCTGTTTCTTTCAGAAAGGTTTTTTACTTTGATACTTATCGATCTTCCATATTCCTCAATGTCCTTCTCTTGATTTTTAAGAATTACTTTTATTGTTTATCAGCAAATCATGGAAAAATGTTTCATTTCATGAAAATTTTCTTCATTAATTAATATTATTTACTTTTACCAGAATTTAGTGTATTTAATCATATTTCACAATTTGAATTTAGTCGTGGTATACCCTCCCTGAAATATTATATATATATATATATAATATATATATATTATATATATATATATATATATATATCTCAGTTTGGAATAGAACGTGTATTTAGTTCAAGAGTACAACTGTCTTGTCAACATGGTTTTTTTACAGGCGTTTTCATCATTTATAAAAAACATAATATAGCTCTTCTCTTGAATTGTTTTCTCAAATTTTCTATTTACTGAAAGTGTGAGAGAAAGTCAATATTAATATACTTTTGGATGATGTGACTTTCACCAGGGATATGCATAATAAACATCATTTTGGGGAAAAATTTTAACTATTGACTCCAAGTTATTACTAGATGTAGTATTATACAAATATATTTACTTTTATTTGTGACCATTTTGCCAACTTTTTCTGCAATTGTGTAATCTTCAAGTACATTGATATAAAATTATTTGTAGTGTAATTTCATATGAAATATATTTTATATATCTAACAGCCAACTCTTCAGAAATGATATTTTGGTATATTATACTTTGTTGCTTTTTTATTTCTTTTTTATGAAATATATTAAAGATTATCATTTTATTTTTATCAGGATCAGTTAATTTTTTCTACTCTACATGTCTTAATTTTTTTAAAAAATTCTGTCATATTGTTTTCTATTTTTAATTATCTTTACATGAAATCTTCATTTTTTTGGTTTTTGAGGAGTATTTAAAATGTGTAACTTCAGCTTTTTTAATTCAGTGATTCCATATTAGTATATTAGTATAGAAATCAAATCTTTTCTTACTATTGTTTTATTATCGACTCTCAATAAGTACTATCTTCAATTATACATGATTTTTAATTGTGTTTTAATCCATTCTGTCTACTACAGATTATTGAAAATTGCATTAAGTATTGCAGGTGTTTTTTCTCTATATGCACTTATAAGTCATGTGAATAATAGTACCGCAGTCTCTACTGTATAACAAACGTGAAGTCAAATTAATGGCATGATGTATTATCAGTCTTGATGTATTTCTAGAAAAACTCAGATAAATACTAAGTATATTCTGAAATCAAAACATATATAAACCATGAAAATGCCTTAGAATATATTCAGTAGTGGTGGATCCAATATGTGATGATTTATCAGAAATTCAAGTATTCACAAAGTGCAACTTATATGTACAGCAATCTTCCATACTGAACATCGGTAAATTTTCTGTACTATGTTTCTGTTTTCATCCTCCTCTCATATGTATTTTGATGACATAGAATGACCTTTAGCTTAGATCATTAGAATGTTATACAATTAGTGAATATTCCATTTTGACCACTTCCACTAATCCTAACAAGAATTCATGCTACCACGTGTTATTTTGATTTATGCCAATGCTACTGCTTCTATAGAAATGCTCATGACATTCTCCCGACGTGTATCTATTGTCATATATAGTTTGTGTGCATATCATCCTTACAGTTCTGTGGCACTGACTGTACCTGATGCCATAAGCTACTTCCCTCATTCATATATGCCTTCTGGGAGAATGGGGATGAAATTTCAGGAAGTGAGATTGTACTGTGCTCTCAGTACATTGTATATCAAAGACATCTCTCAGGCTCCAATCAGTCTCTCTGGGTGCCTGTTTTAGTGTTAGGCACTGGAAAAATGAAGTATCCCCAACTGCAGTTTTGAATGTGAACTTAATGTAGTTTTCAAGAACATAAAGAACTGGCATTTATTCATTTTTCATGTTAAACTTCATAATGGTGAAAAATGGAAATGGCAATGGTGATGGAAAGAGCATTTTTGATAAAAATAAATGCCTTTAATGGAATCACAAAAAAGTGGCTGGATGTGGTGGCACATAACTCTTATGTAAGTTGACGATGAGACTAAAATAGAATATTCACATTTTTGAGATCGTGATGGGGGCAAATTGGTGAGGTTCTGTTTCAGAATAAGAAAATGGATACAACTGGGTATGTTGGTGATTAGCTGGGTGCCTTCTGGTTCATATTCACCAATAATGAACAAAATGTGAGCAAGAAAATAAAATGAAATGAACTTAGAGTGAAGTGCAAAGTAGAAAATGTTATTAAATGGAGCGACAGTACTTGGTACAACTAACTGCTCAATGAAGGAAGAAATTTATCAGTCTGTCATATAGAAATCTTTTCCTCTTGTAGGTTGTACAGAGTTAGAGAACTTGAGTATAGATCATTTGCTTACCTGTCTGACTGGCAATCTCATCCTCTGGGCAAGGCAGGCAGTCAAAACAACAGGCAGATTTTCCCTCCTGAGGGGTTTTTCTAAATCCAGGTTTGCAACTCTTGCTGCAAACAGATTGTGGAGTCTAACAGAAAAAAAATATATTGGAAATTTCAAATACTACTTTGCAGAGATTAATTTCTATACAAATTTAATGAATACAATATAATTTAATGTCATTTTTCTTTAACTATATTAAATATGGAATTATTTATAAATATTATTAAATAAATATATTACTTCCCCTTTCATGAGAAAGCTGGTAAGGAAATTTTTTCAAATTGGTATTTGAATTTTTCCAAACTCTACATGTAACCATCGCACAATCAAAATTGAAAGCAAAACATCTATCACAATACTTATGTTATTTTTGGTTAGTGAAGTGCATCAAGATAAGGACCAATATACCTCTATAATTCCTGTGGCCCATTCTATCATATCCTCAGACAAAGACAAGTTTCGCTCAAGTGGAATATGTGGAGAAAATGTTCCCAATTTGACCTTAAGTCTAAGACCTTCTGGAAAATTCCAATAATTGAGAATGTCATATGCTGAATCCAGTTTCCTTCTATTATCCAAGTTCACTTGGTCTCCAGAAGGATTGTTAAATTGGGTATTTTTCAGAAAAGGGTGCAGCTAAAAGAGACACATTATCTTCTGTTAAACATAGCTCCAGGATTAAGGCAAAGCATGAAGGTGAAAAGCTTGGAATTTTCTTTAGTCTCCTTTTACAAAGCACCTGTGGCACTACTATCTAATGAATTAGAACACATTAAAGTCTAAAGAGGACCAAACTATCATAGCAATCCATAGAGTCAGTTTCAGGAAAAGCTATACTACATCAGCTTTTAAATGAAGTACACTTTTACAATAACAAAAAATCAACTATGGAATCAAATCTTCCAACATCCATAACACTCATTTTCTATCTGACTATTCTTTCAGGATGCAACTATAAAATTAATTTATCAGCATTAAAAGTTTGCAGAGTAAAAGAAACATTTCACATAATTTTTGCACTGTAGGGTTTAGTATCATTTAGGTTCATGATTAAAAATTTTCCTGCTGTCTTTTTTTTTGGGGGGGGGGCTTTTTTGTTTTTACTGGTACCAAGGATCGAACTCACAACTGCCTGCTTTTGAGTTAGGCATTTATGCCGCTGAGCTAAATCCCCAGCCCCTTTTCTGTTGTCTTTTAAGAAATTTAATGGACAATTATAGATGAGAAATGCATTGATGTTATATAGAAAGAAGCAATGATCATGCCTTGGTGGATATCTCAGCAAGCAAGGGAGAATCACAGGTTCCAGAGGCACCGGGCCTGTGGTGATTGCTCAGTGCACTCTGCCCAAAGCCCAGACTGTTCGGGACCCTCCAGGCTTCCAGGTGCAGTGAAGTGGAGAAGTGGATTTGAGGCCTCTATATCTGCCTCCCCATCCCAGCTGCACTTGGAGAACTGTGGAGCTTCCAATGGGTGGGCGGGCCCACGCTATCCCCGGGGCCCAGCCTGTTTGGGACTCCCGCACCTCACCATTGGTGTGCAGAGGAGGGGGTGGGCGGATCTGGGGTGCCTGCATCAGCCTCCCCTTGTGTCTGGAGGACTGTGGATATCTCAGCAAGCAGGGGAGGATTTCAGGTTCCAGAGGCACCTCAGCCTGTGGTGAGTGCTCAGCACACTCTGCCCAAATCCCAGACTGTTTGGGACCCTCCAGGCTTCCAGGTGCAGTGAAGTGGAGAAGTGGATTTGAGGCCTCTACATCCGCCTCCCCATCCCAGCTACACTTGGAGAACTGTGGAGCTTCCAACAGGTGGGCGGGCCCATGCTATCCCCGGGGCCCAGCCTGTTTGGGACTCCCGCACCTCACCATCGGTGTGCAGAGGAGGGAGTGGGCGGATCTGGGGTGCCTGCATCAGCCTCCCCTTGTGTCTGGAGGACTGTGGATGTCTCAACGGGCAGTGGAGCATGGCAGGTTCCAGAGGCCCTGCAGCCTGTGGTGAATGCTCAGCGCACTCTGCCCAAAGCCCAGACTGTTTGGGTCCCTCCAGGCTTCTGGGGGCAGTGAAGTGGAGAGGTGGCTTTGAGGCGTCTACATCCGCCTCCACATTCCAGCTGCGTTTGGAGAGCTGTGGAGCTTCCAAGGGGCAGGTGGGGCCAGTGTCCCTGAGGCCCAGCTTATCTGGAACCTCAGGGTTCTGAACAGGCAGAGGAGGGCCATTGGTTTGGCAGGCCCAGTGGCTTGGGATAATGGGGTGCCAGAGTCTCAGGAGCTGCAAACTTATAAGGGGAATTCCAACAGACACTGAGGAAGCTTTCAAATAACACTTGAAACACAGAAATATAGGAAAATGACAAAACAAAAGACCAAATTACAACCTCAAACCTTCAGCCCATCTCAAGAAACCCTAGGAGCAATGTATATAGAAGAAAATATATGCCATTTGCCTCAAATATCGGACACAATAGCTACTGAAATTAACAAGCAACTCCAGGAAGCTTTAAAGAAATTCAAACTCGAAATAATCTCCCAGGTAAAAAGAAGAAATGATAAATAAATGAAAGAGATTCTGAATATATCTAAAGAAAACACAGATAAAAAATTGGAGGCACTAAACAAAAAGATAGAATCCCTAAATAAGAAACAAACAGAATACATAATGCAGATGCACAGAGATATACAGGAAATAAAAAACTCCCCTGAAAGTTGTAAAAACCAACTTAATGAAAGTGAAGATAGAATTTCAGACCTTGAAGACAGGATTGCAGCTAGTGAACAGGAAAGGAAAGATCTTTTAAAAATAACAAGGAATCAGGAAACAACAATTCAACAACTGCAAGACGATGCAAAGAAGAATAACATAAGAATGATAGGGATTAATGAAAGAGAGGGAGACAACATGAAGGATGTCAGGAGGATATTTAGAGAAGTAATAGCTGAAAATTTCCCAAGCATGAGATCAGAAACCGACATCAGGATCACTGAAGCATATAGAACTCCAAAAAGTTATAACCAAAATACAACTACACCCAGACATATAATAATCACCATCCCAGAAATCCAACACAAGAATAGATTATTAAAAGCTGTCAGAGAGAAAAGACAGATCACTTATAAAGGAAAACCTATCAGAATCACAGCAGACTTCTCAGCACAAACAATAAAGTCAAGAAGAGCATGGAGTGAAGTATTCCAGATCGTAAAGCAAAATGATTTCCAGCCTAGACTGATGTATCCTGCAAAACTATCATTCAAAATTGATGGTGAAATACGATACTTCCATGACAAAGAACAGCTGAAGAACTTCATGAACACCAAACCAACCCTGCAAAAAATATTGAAAGACAGTTTAGATACACAAAGGAAAAAACCACTAAACTAAGCAAAGCAGATAAGTAAACGGAACAGAAAGATAAATATGCAACAGCAGAGAGATAACATGTCAACAATAAACCAGCATTTAACAGTAATAACCATTAATGTAAATGGTCTCAATGCACCAATCAAAAGAAACAGACTAGCAGAATGGATCAAGAAACAAAATCCAACCATATGCTGTTTACAGGAAACCCATCTAACCCAGAAGGATACTCACAGAATGAAAGTCAAAGGATGGAAAATAATACTTGATGCAGCAGGAATCCAAAAAAAAGGCAGGAGTAGCCATCCTGTTTGCAGACAAAGTGAACTATAAACCAACAATGACCATAAAGGACAAAGAAGGTCACTACATACTCGTAAGGGAAAAACTCCAAGAGGAAGAGGTAACTATCTTAAATATATATGCACCAAACTCCCGAGCACCCAATTATATAAAACAACTATTAACAAAAATGAAAACTCAAATTATCAGTAACACAACTGTAACAGGAGACCTTAATACGCCATTGACACCAAGGGACAGATCAACCAGACAGAAAATGAGCAAAGAAATAACAGAACGGAATCACACCTGTGAACAAATGGACTTGATAGAAATATACAGAATGTTCCACCCAACAACATCAGAATACACATTCTTCTCAGCAGTACATGGATCATTCTCTAAAATAGACCATATATTAGCTCACAGAACATATTTAAACAAATGCAAAAGAGTTGCAATCATCCCTTGCGTGTTATTGGATCATAGCGCTTTGAAATTAGAAATTAATGTTAAAAGATACTGCAAAAATCCCGCACACACATGGAAACTGAATAACACACTCTTGAGTAATCAGTGGGTCACAGAAGAAATTAAAGAAGAAATTAAACAATACCTAAAAGAAAATGAAAATGCAGATACAACTTACCGGAATTTGTGGGACGCAATGAAAGCCGTCCTCAGAGGAAAATTTATTGCACTGAGTTTCCACATTAGGAAAACAGAACAAATACAAATAAATAACTTGATGCTACACCTAAAACAGTTAGAAAAAGAAGATCAAGTCAAGACCAAAGCCAAAAGAAGAGAGGAAATTATAAAAATCAGAGCAGAAATCAATGCAATAGAGACTAAGAAAACAATCCAAAGAATCAATGAATTAAAGACCTGGTTCTTTGAAAGAATAAATAAAATCGATAAGCCCCTAGCCAACCTTATTTTAAAAAGGGAAGAAAAAGCTCAAATTCATGCAATGAGAAATGACAAAGGTGAAATCACTACAGACCCAACAGAAATACAGAAGATTATCAACACCTATTTCAAAAACCTCTACTCTCAAAAGTTTGATAATACAAGAAATAGACAGATTCTTAGAAACATATGAAGTACCAAAGCTAGATCAAGAGGATGTAAAACTGTTGAATAACCCAATCTCTGTTAATGAAATTGAAAATGTAATTAAGTCCTTACCTACAAAGAGCCCAGGCCCAGATGGATTTACTGAAGAATTCTACAAGAAATACAAAGAAGACCTAATGCCGACACTCCTCAAACTATTCAATGAAATTGAAGGGGAAACAATCCTTCCTAAGTCATTCCTGGAAGCAAATATTACTCTAGTACCAAAACCTGAGAAAGACCCAACTAAAAAGAGAACTATAGACCGATCTCCCTAATGAACACACATGCAAAAATCCTCAATAAAATATTGGCAAATAGGATCCAGCAAATCATCAAGAAGATTATACAGCATGACCGAGTGGGATTTATCCCAGGAATGCAAGGATGGTTCAACATACGTAAATCAATAAATGTAATCAACCATATCAATAAAGCCAAAAATAAGGATCACATGATCATTTCTATAGATGCAGAAAAAGCCTTCAATAAGGTCCAACATTTATTCATGATAAGAACTTTACAGAAAATTGGAATAGATGGTCTTTACCTCAATATAATAAAGGCCATTTACGACAAACCAACATCCAGCATCATACTAAATGGCCAAAAATTGAAAGCCTTTACTTTAAAATCAGGCACAAGACAAGGATGTCCTTTATCACCACTCCTATTTAATATAGTACTGGAAGTACTAGCCAGAGCAATTAGGCAAGAGAGAGAAATAAAAGGGGTAAAGATAGGAAAACAAGAAGTTAAATTATCATTATTTGCAGATGACATGATACTCTACATAGAAGACCCCCTAAACTCCATTGAAAGACACTTAGATACAATAAATAAATTCAGTAATGTGGCTGGATACAAAATCAACACTCAGAAATCAATAGCATTTCTATACACGAACAACAAAATCACAGAGATGGAAATAAGAGAAACTACACTCTTCACATTAGCAAGCAAAAAAATGAAATATTTAGGAATTACTCTTACCAAAGAAGTGAAAGACTTATACAGTGAAAATTATAACACACTGAAAAAAGAAATTGAAGATGATCTCAGAAAATGGAAAGACATCCCTTGCTCATGGATAGGAAGAACAAACATTGTGAAAATGGCCATTCTCCCAAAATTGTTATACAGATTCAATGCAATCCCAATAAAAATACCATCACATACCTTATAGATCTAGAGAAATCACTCCTAAATTTCATCTGGAACCAGAAGAGACCTAGAATCGCAAAGGCACTTCTAAGCAGCAAAGACAAAGCAGGAGGCATCACAATCCCTGACTTGAAGTTATACTACAAAGCAACAGTAGTAAAATCAACAAGGTATTGGAATCAAAACAGAGCTGAAGATCAATGCAATAGATTAGAAGATACAACCAAAACTACAAACACACTCAACCACCTTATCTTTGATAAAGGAGCCAAGCAGGTTCACTGGAAGAACGACAGTCTCTTTAATGAATGGTGCTGGAAAAAGTGGCTCTCCATTTGCGGAAAACTAAAGCTAGACCCATGTCTATCACCATGTACTAAATTAAAATCTAAATGGGTCAAAAATCTGAATATTAAAACAGAAACACTAAATCTATTGGAAGACAAATTGGGTAGAAATCTTGAAGACATAGGAGTAGGTAGAGAATTCATGAACAGGACTCAAACCGCATGGGAAATACTTTCCAGAATCAATAACTGGGAGCACTTCTTATTAAAAAGTTTCTGCATGTCAAAAGAAATCTCCAGCATAGGGAAAAGAAAACCCACAAACTGGGAAAAGATTTTAGTGAACTCTCTCTCAGACAAGGGACTCTTGTCTAAAACATATAAAGAATTAAAAAAAACTCAGACCCCCAAAATTCAAAGATCCAATCCAAAAATGGGCATCTGAGATGAATACACGTGTCAGATGAAGAAATGCAAATGGCAAATAAATACATGAAAAAATGTTCATCTTCATTGGTCATTAGAGAAATGCAAATTAAAACCACACTGAGATACCATCTCACTCCTGAAAGAATGGCCAGGATCAAGAAAACCAACAACTAATGCTGGAGAGGCTGTGGGGGAAAAGGAACTCTCCTACACTGTTGGTGGGAGTGTAGACTGGTGCAGTCTTTGTGGAGGTCAGTCTGGAGATTTCTCAAAAAGCTGGGATTGGAAGTCCCATTTATTCCAGCTATTGCACTTCTAGGCATATTCCCAGAAGAACTGAAAGCGTGATATATGTGCACCTATGTTTATAGCAGCACAATTTGTAATCGCCAGATCTTGGAAACAACCCAAGTGTCCATCAACTGAGGAATGGATAAAAAAGTTGTGGTATTTCTATACAATGGAGTATTATTCAGCTATAAAGAAGGATCACATTGAGATATTTATCAATAAATGGGCGCAGCTTGAGACCACACTCATAAGTGAAATAAATCAATCTCTCATGTGTGAATACCGAATAGTTTCCCTAATGTAAGTAATGATTCAAATATATAAAAATATGTGGTAATCATGATTCCCCATTATGTGGCCTTGAAGTCTTATAAAATTTTCACTTATTAATTGGAAAGGCTTTATTCTGGGCTTCTTGATATGGAAATATTTGAAGCTATAGTATATGAAGTTTTATTCAAATATTTAAGGAAAAAGACAGATACTATGGTAACTACTATTAAGTCGGGTTATGTGGTGGTGAATCACTAGGTTGCTGAAACAGTCATGCTTTGACCGGTCTTATTATATTGTTATGTCCTCTTTTATCTCAATCTCTCCCTTATTCATTAAAAAAATTATTTAGTTATATCTTATTTTTTTTAATTAAGAGGAAAAATTTAAAAATTAGCAGGATATATAATAGTAACTTTTTTTGATTTCCTATTAACTTGTTTTGAAGTCCTGTAATACTCCCACTATCTTGTTTTGACTGATTAAACTCAGTTCCATTCTGAATGATAGTATCAAGTTTGAGGGTATAGGCAACTACTTTGAAGGCAATAAGATTCAATAAGTTGCCCATTCTGGTTTGAGCATTGTCTCCTTTGGAAGTCCTGTAATGTTTACAATGCTTAAGTTTTATTGGTCTTGTTCTCTACAGTTTTGTTCAACTTTATAATATCCAATGAGATAGACAATTCTTTTTAAGGAAACAAGAGACATCCTTGATAACCATTGCTGATAACCTGGTAGTCTGTTTTACATCATGTGCTATGTCTATCCTTGGTTTTGACTGACAGCTTTGTTTTGCCATATTTGACTTTATTCTCTCCCCAAAAAAAGTAATAAGAACTAAGGAGTAATAAAACCCAAAATGTGTAAATTTTGTTGTAAAAAAAGAGCTCTAAAGGATACAACAGCAAGTATGTTTAGGGGTGTTAAATAGCTGACCATATTAATGTTTTTGGTTGGATCATTGAACTCAACTGTTTGCAGTCTCACTGTTTGAATGTCCACTTTGTATGCTTTGATACTGTGATTTGAGCAACTATCTCTAAGATGATAATATGTTATCTATTAACTGGTGATTTCTTACTGTTTTTTTTTTGTAGTTCTGTATTACTTGTACCCTTACACCACTTTGTTTTGTTTTGTTTTTTCTCTTTTCCTTTTAAATAAAATTTTTTAAAAAAATGATCATGCCTCTCAGAAATTTCCTCTTCCTTTACAGTTAATCCTTGATTGGAGACTGTCTCTACCCAGCTCAAGAGTTCCCTCCTTAGCAACAAGTCTGGGATGTAATATCTTGTATTTTATGGAAATGATTCTAATCCTCTTGGGTGGAATAATTTTACATGTCATTCAAAAGAAGACATTACCTGCCAAGAGGAAGACATCATCACTTCTCTATTTCTCATTGGTGGCATTTGTATTTCTTTGAAGAGCATTTCATGGAGGGCATGGGCTACAGCATACACAGCATTGTATATATTGTAACTCTCATCACTCATGGTCACGTCAAAACGATTTGGAGGCAACCAAGCCAGAGAAGCATTAGGGACACAGTTCTTCAATGCACAGTCAGATTCAGAGAATGAGCAATGGAAATTCTTGAACCAATACATAGTGAGATAAGTGTCTTCTGGGTATTTGAAAGGGGTGGCTTCCTCGACAAAGTTTCGGAAGCCTGAAATTTCCTCATTGTGGTGTGCAAAGACAAGAATTCCATGGAATGGGTCAAGTATGAAATTTCTCCCAGCCATGTCAGGATGCCATTGTGAATTTGTGACCCAGACTTTCCATGTCACTAAGTGTTGCCCTATGTTATAGTTGACATCATTTAGACTATCAGTATCATAGTAAATAATAATCACATTTATTGAGGATGTTTCTGTGGTAAGAATATCTTGTGTCTGGAAAGCTGACAGATGAAATGCAGCAATGGTTGAGACCCTTTTCACAAATGCTACACAAATTTTGTTCCTGTCCATCTCTTTTTTTATATCTGAGAGAAACTGAAGACCCTTATGACCTTCTGTGATGAGCAGTCCCACCCATGTCCAGCTGAAATGAAGCATCAGGGACACCATGCCAAGGGCCAAAGATGTGTCCTTCTTGGCTACCTGATAAAGAGAAGGACACTGGCCACTATCAGTCAGCATAGGATCAAATGAACCAAAAGTAACCTAAAAGAAAGAGAAATTTAAAAGTGTACACTGAAGAGTGTTAATGTAAAGCCCAACAGCAGCTCTAAGGCACACTGATAACAACTGGAAGTTGTAGAAGAAGGTACATGTTCTTCACATCTTTCTAATCACCTCACTCCCTTTTAAGCTTTTTTAAAACACAAAATAATGAGCTCAAATACCCAGGAAACATCTTTTCATCTGATTTTTTTCTCTTTTTTTGATTCAGAAAAAAAGTAATCATTGGTAACCCACTAAATCTGTGTACTTACTCCAGCTTCATACTTTGAAAGGTGGGTAGGCCAAGTCTCATTTTAAAATCATTCTAAGCTCTTGTTAGTTAAAGCAATGATTTCCTCTTTTCCTGTACCACCAAGACTCACCTGTGGAAATTTGTAGAGTTCCAGCAGTGGTCCAATCAGAGCAGAAGTTCCCCATGATGTTTCTGACAGCACTGCTACAGATTTTCTTTCTGACCCACATATGTAATTAGGTACCTCATGTTGTCCTGTGAGCAAAATGAAGGAATTTTCTAATATCCTCCAATGACCATAAATTAAATTATGGAACTCATAACCCAGAGATATGTTGGGTAAAAGATGAAGATCCTTGTTAATTTCTTCTATGGCAAAAATGAAGGCTAGATAGTTCTGGTAGTTTTTGGGCATAAGCCTGCATGGAGAGCATAGAAGTCCTTAGGAAGAAGATTCAGTTAATAATTATATTCCAACTCCAATACAGTATTGTTCAAGAACTGAATGTTTCTGCTCCTCCCCCACAGTCACATAACAAGTATCTAAGCATCAATTTGGTGACATTAGAAAGTTTTACTATTTGTGAGGTGATTAGAATTAGATGGCTTATGATGTGAGCTTCTCAAGAAGGAAAGTACTGGCCTTAAAGGTTTCAGAATGAGTTGCTTCATCATTCTGTTATGTGAGGACACATTTGTAAGACTCATTGACAAATCACAAGACAGAATTTTTCTGTATTTTCTCAGCCTGTACAACTTTTAAAGCTAAATGATTATTTATTTAGTCAGTTGTTGGTACATTTTTATGTATCAATCCAAGTATGGCAATAACATAACTAAAGAGAAACAACCTGAAAATTTAATTACAATAACTGCCCTGTGCAAAACCTTAGGATCTATGTTTGAAGCAAGTAAATTAACTTTGATTTAGAACAATCTTTCAGATTTTGATAGAGAAAATTTTCAAAAATGAAGAAGCAGATTACATTTATTTTGAGCTTTGCAAATTTGCTTGGTATGAAGAACTAAAATAATTTAACCTGCTCACACACACTGAATGCTCCAATCATAACAACCAATTTCATATGAAGGAGGAAAATTAACAACACAGGGAAAAATAAATTTAAGTGATGTTCTGTTATTGTGACACGTAAGTTAACAATCAACAGTCTAATACCATGTTATAACAAGATGTCCTCACCCAGCCCACCACATAGTTACATCATCAGACTCAGCCTTGACTGACCAGGTCAGCTGCAACTTAGAGATAGTCTGACCAAACTCAGTTTGAACATCCATCAGGACTGCCTATACCATTTGACATGTAAACTTATTCTACTTTCAAGGACTTTCCACCCGAGATAGTCTAGTCAAGGACATGCTTAGCTTCAACTACCCCCTCAACCCCAGCTGGTGTCTTCTGCCTTTTGGTAAACAATCAATTTAGCTAACCTGCCCAAAACAAATCAGCGTGACAACATATGACTTGATTCATGTAACCAATTGTATAATAACTTGCTATCAGTTTTTGTACTTTCTGCTTACATATCCTATATAAACTAAACCAAAAGCTGACTCACGGCTGCTGATTTGGAACTGATTCCCACCAGCTTACTAGCATAATAAATGTTGCCTTCCAACTTCCTTGGTGCAGAGCCTCTTTATTTCTCCTCAGTGCACCAGGATAAGTAGAGAAATATGACATGGGTGCAGGGATGATGGTACAGCTGAGGCCTTGCAATTAAGTTACCTGAGCCTCTGATCCATGAAAATTATGCACCTGCCACCATCAATACCCATGAAACCCAGATTCAATTGAGACCCCTTAATGAGGTAGAATAATGAAGCCACACAAACATTTGAGAGAAGTCTGAAGCATTATCAGAGTGGGAAATTTAGGAATCAAAAAATGCAACAAGGTACATTTTAAGCTTATCATCATTTTATATTTCAAAATATAAAAATATGTAAATTTGAAAATTAACATTATCACTGCTTGTTTCAGAAATCCTTATTCTATTCACCTTTCCTATAGTTTTGACTCCAAGTAGTCTCTTAGCTAGTGACACATTGTTATTCTTCTATTTCCTGTTATATGAAATTTAGCAAGAATAAAAGTTTCCTTACATAATTTATAATGGTGCTATGTGCTGTTTCTTGATTAATCACCTAGTTTAGGTTCATATCTTTTCAATTTACCCTTTGTGAGTTTAAACATACATATATTTACTGTTTCATGCTGTCCTCTAGAAGAAAAGCTAGGTCTCTCTTTGACAAATGCTCTATCATTGGCCTATAACTTCAGGTCCCAAATGGGTTCATTAGTAGTCTGATATTTTTATCTAAATGAGTCTAATAAATTATTCATACTAATTTAATTTTGAAATACATTAATCCATGATTTTTCTTATATTTGGACTGTGTTATTGGAATTCTTCATTAGACAGATGTATATTTTTAAAATTTTACTACTTTTCCTTATTTATCTTCCAGTTTTCTAATTATTAACAGCATCAGCTGGTGTCATCCTTTTTCCCTTTGTTATTTGATAATGCATTATCTTAAAAGATTGCAGTACATAAAATCACAATTGATATTTATTTTGATACTTGAACCTCTATACCACTATAAATAGGTGATACCTTTTTTGTTTCTTCGTCTTTTTTTTTTACTGAATTTATCTGAAAACAAAACAGCTATTAGAATTATATTTACTGGAGTTTAAATAGTAATATCTTCATATTTACTTTCATATCACATCTTGGCATTTTCCACATTTGTTTATGTTCCTACTTGTTTTTTCAAAGTGAAAAATAAAGGTATTTTTGACTTTTACATCAAATTTGACAACTTGTACTTAAAGAATGTATTCTATTTACAATTCACAGTTATTTATATGATTTATCTGTTCATACTATTTATATTTTGATATTCAACTTTCAGATAAGTTCATTATTTTGGGGTATTTTATTTTATTTGTACTTTTAAAAATATTTGACTGCATTTCCTCTACTTGAGAGAGCTACATTTTCTAGTTGGCTAAATGACATTCCCACAAGAAAGGTAGGTGCTAATTCTCTGGCCCCACCTCACATTTACTGAATATGAAAACTCAGTGTGGTCCGAACAATCCTGATGTTTCAAAGACACACTAGCTGTTTATATGTTCAAGATATTAGTTCTTTGTCTGAAGAGCAACTGGCTAAGAATTTTTCCAACTCTGTAGGTTGTCTCCCTCTGTTGGTTATTTCTTTGTGGTGCAAAAACTTTTTAATATGATGAGATCTTAGTTGTTGATTGTAGATTTATTCCAAAATGGGGTTTGAATGAATAGATAATTCTCAGAAGTAGTAATAGCAAATGAATATATGAAAAATGTTCAACATCACTGATCATACAAGAGATGCAAGTTAAAACAATGCTGAGATTTCATGTCACTCTAGAAAGAAAGAAAGAACAAATCAATAACAAAAGCTGGCATGTCTGTGGACAAAGATATAGTTTTCCACTGTTAGTGGGAATGTAAATTGGTGCAGCAAATGTGGGAATTTGTGTGGAGATTGCTCAAAAACATAGGACTACAGGTTCCATTTGACCTTGCTATTCCTCTTCTTTATAACTTCCATATAGAATTAAAAACAATATACCACAGTGGTATATGTGTTACCCATGTTTATAGTAGCCCAGTTTGGAATAACTAGATGTTGGAAAAAACCAAATGCTTGTCAACCAACAAATGGATAAAAAATGATGTGGGTTTTTAATATACAGTGGAGTGTTACTCATTTATAAAGGAAGAAAGATTTGGAACATCTATAGCTAAATGGAAGGTACTTGAGAACATATTCTTAAGTAAAATACATCCCACACACATGTGTAAATTTCACAGTGTTTCTCTGGTGTAAGAAACTGAAAGTGTAACTTTCAGGAACAAAGGAACAAAATGTAAAATAGATGTTTGGAGGTAGGCAAGAGAATAAGAGAAAAATAAGAATGTGGATATATCATATACATGTACCAATTTCCTATGATGGTGATAATTATGCATATCTATATTGTATCAACAAACAATATTAATTAAAATGCTTTAAAAATTAGATCTCTCAGAGGTTCTTATCCATAGTAAAGTTCAAAAGTTTAGTACCATGTTATTTTGAAAAATGTAAATACAAAAATGAAAAAGTTGTCTAAAATTCATGTTATTGTGTCCTCTAAAATGTGCCAAATAAAACTTAGCTGGAGGAAAATCTGAAAATTTAAAATTGTCATTATCAAAAATTTGAATTGTACTTTGATTATCTGGATTTGGAGATAAAGGGAAAAATGGAAGCATATAAACTTTTTAACTTAAAACTGGGAAAGCAACAGGGTAACTCTTCTGACTGAAGATTTGTAGCAGATGTTTCAGTAAAATTAAGAGATTTAAGGAACACCCAGTCTTGTCATACTAAGCTGATTTTTAAAACTATGACTTTTGATAGAATGTATTATAGAAGCCAAAGTTTACTAGTGATCAAATATCTTTCACATAACTGTATAGTATAATTTGTTAAAGATTTTATCATTATGATCTGTTATATACACAAACCCCACTGGAGATTGATACCTATAACAGCTTTCTGTATTTAAATATCTATTAAGGGATTGTGTATGATGTTAACCTGTTTTAATTTTATGTGTGTGGATCACACAAATAGAGTTCTAGTTATAAATCTAAAATTTTTACCTTGAAAGCAGACCAAACCTTTTAATATAAAGTAGCTTATACTTCAACTACCAAGAAAGTACTTTTTTTTATTTTAAAGAGAATGGAACCCAATGAAGCAAAACAGAATAAAGCCAATCAAAACAAACCAGTGAAAGTGGTACAGAATTTCAAAACAAGATAATAGGAAATCAGCAACTGCCACCATAATATGTCTTGCTATCATCATAATAGTTGTCCATACCATTAGACATAGCAAAATCAAACTAATCAAAGCAGAATAAAACCAATCAAAACATAACATTGAATGAAACAAAACAATACATTGAAACAAAATGAAACAGTGAGAACATACTACACAGTGTTATCTTCAATATAGTTGCTCTGGTTAGCAGTCACAGGATTAAAGAGTAAAAGGCCACAAATCATTGGATTTCAAAAATAACATAGAAGGGAATCCCCCACAGGTGCCATAGTGCACACTGCCATCCTCCAAGTATACAAGCATCAACTATTCCCTTCCCTTCAGTTGCTATCATCTCATCCTGAGACCTCCTAATTATTGAGGGTGGCAGTAGGGTGTGCTCTCCTGGTTTTACAGCCCATGCACCTGTTGGCTCACGGGAAGGCATGGTTTCTCTTCTGTTTGAGGGTATTACAGTCAGCATAGTGGAGCCTGCTTCACAGGAAGGAATAACTTGTTTTCTTGC